CACACACACGTAATGAAACATACATATTACACACTCATTAAAAACACAGACACACATAGCTTCATTAATGGAAAAAAAAAAATCACACACACACATTAAAAAAAACACACAAAAAAAACACACATAACTAATAACAATTGTTAATTAAAAAATGTCCCCCTCCCCTGCTTACCTGTTTTGCAGGAAGGGGGGCTGCATTCCTGGGGTCCAGTGTGGCACTTGGATTATCCTAATGGTCGAGTGGAGGATCAGTGTGATGATTGTGAGGCTCAGGCTGATGCAGACCAAACTAATTGATCCCTGCCAATCAGCGGTGGCACCACGAGGGATCGATCAGTATGATCTGCATCAGCAAGAGATGCAGGTCATACTGATTCCCCGCTGGATCTGATTTTCATTTAATATATTGCCGTTTCGGCAATATATTAAATTAGATGTGGGCACTTGCCAGGTTTAAAGATGGCCGCCGCTACTTGCGGCGGCCATCTTTAAAAACGTAATGTGCAGTCAGTCACAGACAGGGGGACACCGGAGGCCCGCACAGAGAACACCAGCTGAGGATCTCTCCTCCGGTGCTGCGGGGCCCGGGCGGCCCCCTAAACCTACTGCCAGTCAACTGTACGGCTGACGGCCGATATTCATGTAAGGTTCAAGGGCCCCTCACGCGGCCCGGGCCCCTTACTTGAATATCGGCCGTACCCCCCCCTGACGGCGGCCCTGACCGTGGGACAGGAAGGGCCAGCAAGGACAGATGAGGCAGCCCTGGATCGGAGACCCGCAGCAGCGCTGGAGGGACAGATGAAAATTACAGGAAAGAAGATCGGATTAAGAAACATAATTTAAGGTAAGTGTTTTAATTAACAGGGAAAAATATCTTTGTAGGTCTGTATGCCATACGTCCTTGGCAGCGAAAGGGTTAAGCCTTGCTGTGGGGCTGCCCCGCACTGCAAGGGTTATGTGCTAATTTTCGTCTGAGGACAAAACTAAAGTAGTTATATACACTTGAACCTCAGTGCTGGCTGTTAGACCAATCCATGTTGCCTCTCTCCCTGTCCCCTCAGGAGGTCTAAAGTCCTGTGAGTCATCATGTCCTATACAGTGTATGGTATGTGAGGACACCGAGAGACATTCAATCGCTGCTGCAGGAGCCGGTCTAGCAGCTAGATGAAAATGAGCACTTAACCCTTGAGGTGTGAGGGTAGCCCCACTTCAAGGGTTAAGAATAATTATGCCTGATGTGCTTCTATAGTGTACAGTTTAACATATCTGAACGTACTGTATCTGAATGCCTGTGGGCAGTGGGACACATCTACCTTGTGTGTGTTCCCAGACTCGAGGCTCTATGTCAATTGTATGTATATATGTATAAATGACACAGCATGGATTAAAATTAAACTGATAAGAGAAATAATACAGAGGTTGCAATTGCTAACCTCCATATAAAAATACTGATCCTATAGCTTTGATCAGTTCTAGGCCACTGACCCAAACATTATTGAAGCTATAGGACCAGCCTAGCAAACAGGCAATCCGTGTGCCAGTAATGTACTTTAGTTTTGGATTTCTGTCTTATGCAAAAGATCCAGTAGATGTCAGTGTATACCATTCCAAGCAAAATCTGTTTGCGGCAAAGTATTACATAAGCATTAGTAGGAGTTTTGCAGATAATACATACACACTCACACTCCACATTGTAAATTGTACACAAGTCTTACTGTAAATTATAATTCAATTATAAATCCTGATTATCAAATCTACTAAATCTATATTATTCTACAGGTGAAAGTTCCAGATGTGGAATTTTTTGTCAATTTAGGGGACTGGCCTCTGGAGAAGAGGAAGATCCAGCCTTTTCACCCCATCTTTTCTTGGTGTGGATCCACAGAAACAAAGGACATTGTAATGCCCACTTATGACCTGACAGATTCTATACTGGAAACTATGGGGCGGTAATCTGCAGTTTTTTGTTTTTATTTATGTGCTGATCTGTATATATGAATTGTTTTTGTGACATATATCAATTTGAATTAAATTAATAAGAGAATGCATAGCCAAAGAAAAAAGCCAAAGAAAAAAGAAAATGAGTTAATTTGCAGATTTTAATTTCAATTTTGAATTTTCAACTTTTACTTCCTGAGGTGTATATGGGACACTTTTCTTCATCAAACTTAAAGCCTGGGCCAGATTTGCTATTGGGCACCATATGTCTTTGCCTAAAGGCAGCAGAGGCAAAGATGTGTCATTTCCTTGTATAGTTATCAGCCACATTTTTTCCAAATGATATATTTATTAATTTTCTTAAATTCCACAAATCACACATGAAACTATGAAAGCCACAATTTTGTTCCCGTCATCAGCAGTAATAAAGTCATAGTTTATAAGCTGCATTACACATTATCACAGTGTTCTAAGCTCAGAAACCATGAATGAAAGAAATGTTCTTTATTAATGAGCTATAGGGATGACAATCTGCCCTAAATGCAGTCTAGTTTTTTCAAACCTGTGCCCCAGGACCTGTTATGGTGTAACTGGTACCCTCACAAGCAGACCTATACAAAATTAGTTCCTATTCATATATAATAATTCTTATAGGAATATATAGTATTTTATTTATGTTCAGGACTAAAATAAAATACATTTTTCAACATATATTTTTTAATTGAAATTTTCACATGCATATTTAGTATTTTCCTGGTTTAGGCAGCAGGTGGAGATCTAGGCTTCTTTTCATGCATTTTGTTTCTGCTTTTGAAGAGGACCTTTACACTCAAAAATCAAATTCTACTAATGCATCCCTCTATGTATGATGATTAATAATTAACATAGACATGTCAGATATAAAATGCTGTGATTTTAAAATACTTGCAGGGCTATTCACTAAAGAGTGAAGAGTTTGGAGAAGGCAGGAGACGTGCACAATCTAGGACAACATAACTGAGCTGGAAAGTGAGCGGAATTGGATAATTTTTCCAAATCAGCTATTTTGGCCTAGATTGTGCACTTCTCCTGCCTTCTCCAAACTCTTCACCCTTCTGTAAATAACCTTGTTATTGTGTATGTTAAAAATTGAAGATTGTGGTTCAGCTGACAGTTCCACCCAGTAGATCAGTGGTTCTCAACCTTTCTAGGGCTGGGACCCCTTGGTAACATTTGCCAAGTTGTGGTGACCCCCAACGGTAAAATTTAGGGATGACGCGGCTGCTGCAGCGACATCTGGTGGCGTGGCGGGAGAACTGACCCTGCTGCGCTAGGAGAGGGCTGAGGGGGACTCTCACCTAGCACAGCAGAAATCACACAGCGACCCCACAGGTTGAGAACCACTGGCGTACGCCGTCAGAATAAAAAAAAAAAGAGGACCTGATGAAGAAATTCAGGTCCCACCCTGCGAATTGACAGCAGCAGAGGGCTGGTGCAATAGCTAGTTTGCTATTGGCTATTGCAAAGTGAAATAGCCAATAGGAATCTAGCTATGCATTCCTATGGTGATTTTTTTTTTCTGACTTACGGCGGCCCCCGATGTCAGAAAAAAAAAATTATCGCAGGGAAAGGTTTGCTCTGCTCGATTGAACAGAGTAAACCTTTCCGGGAGACAGTGTTTCTCTCCTGCTATCTAATAGCGGGAGACTCCCGGGCGACCCCTGGCAAATCGTCATTCAACCCCCGACCGGGTCACGGCCCACAGATTGAGAACTGCTGCAGTAGATAGAAAGTTTTAAGGAACAAAGTCCACAGATACAGCGCTCGCTGAGGGGGGAGTGTAATGCTGGTCGTGTTAATTTGAGTGAGCGGCTTCTAAGGCAATCGGACCGGGGTGTCCGACATGTGCCTCCACATCCTGGAAGCAATATTGTTGCACACCACGGGCCATTGTGAACCTTCTCTCCCACTCAATCCCATCGCATTCAGGCACTTTGTGTCCCCATTTGTTTTGCAGCGCTTCTTCCTCCAATGTCAGTTCCAGCCAGTGACTACAGTAGGGAGGTAATGTGTATTTCCTGTAGTCACTGGCTGGAACTGACATTGGAGGAAGAAGTGCTGCAAAACAAAAAGTAGATGTAAAGCCAATTGCCACTATTTTCCTTATTTTCCACCGTTTATTGCGTCTGACAGTTGCTAATCTCCTGCAGACTTTTGTAGACACTTCTTGTCTGCTGTATATGCACTTGCTGTGGTTAGATATCTAAACACCCTTTTTGAGAGTGGGCAACCTTGTGGTGACAGTGGCGCATGTTTCAGGGCCCAGTGACACCATCAACAGTGCGTTCCTGTGCGTTCGGACTCTGGAACGCAACCCGGCCTGCTCAGTTTCTTTGGGACCCCCCCGCCTGCTGTGCGATCGCCGATACCCGAACGCTAGACACATTAGTGCCTGCGTTTCGGTCCAGTGCGATCTGCAAAGAATAGTGTTTGCAGCATTTCTTGCCTGAATCCAGTTCTTTGGGTCTCTGATCTGGGACAAGCAGGCAGATAAGGACTTTTGACTTTGCTCTGTCTTTTCTGACTGGCTTACTGGTTCTATATCTCTCAGAATGTGGTCAGCCAGGGGGTCAGCATGATAGCCAACAACCATTTTTCAAAGGAGGCCAGTAATGACCGGTACAATATTTATTTACATGAAACTTGGTGATTTGTAATTAGAAATACAAGGTTTATTGAAGAGAAGTGTGTAGACAGTGAACAATATAGTGTGCCCACCCTCCAGGACACCATTCAAACCATGAAGATGGTCTGTTAGATAAACCTGAGGCCAGGTTTTATTTTGAGTGCTCTTCATTCAGTTTCAGGTGCATATTGTATTTTAATAGCACTATTATTGCACCTAGTCTAGAAACACTGTAAATCGGAGATAAGGCTTTAAAGGCTCAGTTTACCTTTTGGACCATGTTTCACGTTACACCCATATTCAGGGTGTAATATGAAACATGGTCACATTGCACGACTGCAATGCTTTATTGGCTCCAACCTAAAAAATAATACATGCACATTTTGTTTCTTTTATGAAGATTTTGTTATCTTTTTCTAAAAAGTGGACTTTACCTTTATCGCAGCATTTAAATCCTTGATACATATAGAATTTGTGGCTGTATTTTTCGGTACTTAAAAATGAGCCTAAAATATGTATAAACTGTAGTATTTTGAGATGCCATTTCATCTATGGTTGGTTTTATTTTGCACAGGGTGAGCCTAGACATGACATCTGTCCAGGGGAACACTGGCCCTATATGGGAAGAGAAAAACAATACAGCTTTTTGGAGAGGACGAGACAGTTGTAAAGAGAGGCTGGAGCTGGTGAAGATGAGCAGAAAGCATCCTGACCTGATAGATGCAGCTTTTACGCACTTCTTTTTCTTCAAACACGACGAAAGCTTATATGGCCCTATTGTACAGCCCATATCTTTTTTTGACTTCTTTAAGGTAGGTGGCTATGGCTGCAACCGCTGTTGTAGGTTTGTCTCAATGCAGCCCTCTAATTGCAGAGTTGGGTAGTATTGTGAAAATTGTTTTATTTGAGAATACATATTTTTAAACATGTTGTCAAAAAGTAGACTACACTATTCAGCCAGGCAGAGTTGAAATGTTATGTATAGGACTCATAGAACCGGGATATAACACATTTACCATATCCACCTGTGCTTTTAAATATCATTTTGTGTCCTTTGTTAACTCAAGGATTCCCTTGGATTGATTGAAAGCACTGGGCAAACGTTTTCCTAATGCTTGCAGTAGGGTTACCCCCATTCTGCAAGGGTTAAAAGAGAACTATGGGGTAACCTTTTTATCCCATAGTTCTCTTAAGGGTCACGGGAGGACATATTCTAACTTCCTCCCGTGACCCAAAGCTCAATATATAGCGGGCTATTGCTCACTATATACCGTAATCGCCGCAGCTGGGACGGATCCCGACAATGCTGTCGAGATCCACCCAGCTGTGTTAGTGACAGCTGGCTCTGCCTATCCAGAGGCAGAGCCAGCTGTGCCCGCCCCCTCCCTGTCCGTTTCTCCACTCAGCGCTGCAGGATCAGAGCATGGAGGGGGGAATCCTTGCGGGGAGCGTTGACTGACAGTACGGCTCTCTGCAGTGAGATGATCGGAAAGTGAGAGAGCAATGGTATGCGTTTGCTCACTTCCTGATCTATAGAGCCGACCTGTGACAGTCTCATTGTCACAGGTCGGCTTGAACTATGAGGTTGAGTGAAAATCACTCACCTCATAGCTCTCCTTTTAAGTGCTTGTTTTAGTTTTGGTGCAAAAATAACAAATTTATACCCGATCCTCGGACCGGCTTGTAGTTCGACCAATCCCCTGGAGCCTCGCTCCCCCTCTGCTGCAGTGGTCTAAGGTCTGTGAGTCATTACGTTCTACACACAGTGTATAGGATGCCAAGGAACATTTCATCGCTGCAGCAAAGGAGGAGACAGACTGGAAGGAGTGCTGTAACAGCCGGCTAGCTACGAGGTTCAGGTGAGTATAACTTTTTTTATTTTTGCACCTAGACACAAATGAGCACTAAAGTAGGGTATACACAGGTAGACTTTCAAATGAACGTTTGTATGAAAAATCCTGTCGGAATGTTTGATAATGCCATCAAAGACTGGGCAATTGTTGTTTGAAATTTTGTTTGATTTTCATTATTATTTAAAATTTGATTTTTACCCTAAGGAGAACTATGGGGAAAAACACTGACCCCATAGTTCTCCTTTAATGGAGTTTCTCGAACGAAAACCACAGCCGCTGTTAGAATTTCGTTTGATCGGGGAAAATTTCAACATGCTTCGAATTTTTTCGTCACTGCAGTCAAAATTGATCATCGATTTGACCCCATCAACGATTAGCAAGATGAACAAACGCTCTGAAATCAATTTTATTCGCTCGAAATTCTAACCATATATACCCTACTTTAAGGGTTAAGAAAAGGTTTGCCTACAGTTCTTCTTTTTTTTTTTATATATATATATATAGATATATATACTGTATAATTATGTTTTGTTTTTGTTACTGCACTTATAAGAGTTATGTTGATTTATATTCATAAATTGTTATTAAGTTTAAATATAAAACAAGAACAATAATCAGGTGCATGCATAGTATTAGGTTGTACAATAAACAAGAAGGTAACAGACAAGGCAGATCACATTATTTTTATTACACAGGATTTATATAGCGCCAACAGTTTGCGCAGCGCTTTACAATATAAGGAAGACATTACAATCACAATACAATTCAAGACAAGATGGTAAGGAGGGCCCTGTCCCTGAGGGCTTACAATCTAAAATGAAGTCAATACCATACATACACTGAGTGGCCAGAATATTATGACCACCCCATCAGTACTTCGTTGGGCCACCTTTTGCCTTCAATACTGCGGAGATTCTTCTTGGCATTAAATACACGAGATGTTGAAAGGTGATGCGAGGAATCTGACACCATGCCTGATGAATAGCACTGTCCAGTTCTGTGAGATTTGATGGTTGTGGAACCAGCTGCCTGATGGCTCTTTCAACTTCGTCCCACAAATGCTCAATTGGATTGAGATCTGGTGATTGTGGGGGGTAAATTCTCCCTCATGTTCTTGAAACCACTCCTGCAAAATACGAGCACCGTGGCATGGCGCATTGTCTTGTTGGAAGAAGCCATCTCCATTGGGATACGCCATCAACATGATAGGATGAACTTGATCAGCAACGATACTTTGGTATGTTGTGCAATTCAGACGTTGTTCCACACGAATTAAAGGGCCCAAATCATGCCAGGAAAAACATGCCCCAAACCATAACACTGCCCCCACCAGCTTGAAGGGTTGTACTCATGCATGTGGGGTGCATGCTTTCATGCTGTTCCCGTCAAATTCTCACTTTGCCATCTGCACGATGCAACTGGAAACGTGATTCATCGGACCACATTACTTTTTTCCAATGCTCGAATGTCCGATCCTTGTGTTCCTGTGCGAATTGGAGGCGTTTTATCTTGTTAACTGCAGACAGCAAAGATGTTCGAACAGGCCTTCGGCTTCCATATCCCATACGATGCAGTGTATGGTGAACAGTGCGTTCAGAGATCATTTGAGAGGATCCCTGATTAAGATCTGCAGTAATTTGATTCACTGTTGCCCTTCTGTTGTCTTGTACCAGTCTTGCCACTCTCCGTTCTGTCCTAACATTGACTAGTCGCTGATGGCCACAATTCTCACGTTCAGACCCATTTGCGGCTGACAGTCCAGTCTTTAAACACTTTAACAACAGCTGCTCTTGAACATTTAACAAATTCTGCTGTTTTGCTGATACTCAATCCATGGCTCCGAGAGCCAACAATCATCCCACGTTCAAAGGCTGTTAAATCGTGTTGTTTACCCATATCTTCAGAAAAAAATCACTTCTACTGTCGTGGTAAACAACCTGCTTCCCTATTTATAATGGTCTGGCCCTCTAACATCTTCAGCGTGAAATTATAGCTAATTTGCTTACAAACGTCAGGTGGTCATAATAATCTGGCCACTCAGTGTATTGTCCACATAGCTCAAGATATCAAATCAATGTTGCCGATAGCGGGATCTATACCATCTTTTTTTTAGAACATAGATATATTATCAAGGTACACATCTTGTGCCAATTACCTGGAGTAAACTGGGGAGACAGGAGGAAGGTAAGCAGGGAAGGGAGGAAAAAAAGGGGCGTAAGAATAATAGAAGTTGTGACGGAGCTTGCACCTCTTAATGATCAATATGTAGGTAGCATGGAGTCCTTGTTTTTACATAGTTATGTGTGACGGTTGAGTGAAGAGAATTGAAGCCATGGGTCCCAATTAGCTATAAACAAATCATGATGACCGTCTCTAATGGCCAAACTTTTTTTTTAAATGACAATGAATGTTGACACTTTGGATAACCTCAGAGATAGGTGTACTGGACTATTTCCACATGCTCGAAATAGCCAATCTACTGGCAATTAAAACACGGGTTACCACAATTCTGAACCCTCAAGGGAAGCAAAGTATATCTATATTTAATAACCATTTGGGGAGATGGTGGGAAAATTAAGCCTGTTAATTTGGAAAGGGTTATGTTGTACTTTAAAAGTGATGGGTCGACTTTAACTGGGTATCCATGATTCTTGAAAAACAGGCAATTTTTAACAAGGTCAGAATTTAAGTTTGTGCCTGTTTTGTTGCACTGTCCTCCCCCTTGCTATTGGCAAGAGGCTAAGTAAGTTAAACTTTGTACGGAAGAGTCACTGTTTCTCTGTAATTTTGGTGATTATGTTCCTCCAGTTCTCAGATGTTGGCAGGCTGAAGGCTTAAACATGGATGAAGTGCATCTATTTGACATTTATTTTGTGAACGAAAATTGTGAATAAAGCACCAAAGTACACATTTACAGAGAGAAACATGTAGGATGCAAATGTTGATCTTCTGAAAATGCTAGTTACCTGTCTGTCTCTGGCTTCAGCACTTTGTATTACTGGCTCAAAAGAAGAATGCGGCAAGTTAAAGTACAATTGTCCTTTAATCAGTTTTCCCCACCCCCTGAGTGCAGCCCATTTGGACATAACTTGCTTTCCTCCTCAACTTAGCCATATTCCCTGTGTGTCCCTGCCCAGCACCAACACAGCATGGACATGAATAGTGCTGCAGCACACATGCACCCTGAGAAAAGGATCCAGCAGGGATGCTTTTGCTGGGAAGGCTGTGCGGTGCCAGGCAGGGCAGCACAGTGAAGATCTCAGAGAAAGGTAGGTATTTGTTCCAGTGGGCAACACTGAGGAAGTTGGAAGTATTAATGCAGCTGTGCGCTTGTTTTAACCACTGCAGGGCAGAACGTAGGATACACAGTATGTCCGAAATTTGTGTTAATTCCCCACCAAAAGTTAATAATAATAAAACAATGTATATATATATA